GCCGGCCGAGGAAGCCCAATCGCCGACGTCCATGCCGCCGGCGATCCCGCCGATCTCGACCACGCCGAGCGGCCCTCTGCCGCCGGAGTTGATGGCTCTGTTCGCCCGGCTCGCCATCCTGGCCTCCAGCGCGACTGGCGCGTCCATCGCGCCCTCGTCCTCCGGCGCCGCACCACCGCCTCCTCTGGACGCTGAGACGCGTACTACTCTCCACGCCCAAGCAGTTGCTGTGCTCAATGTCAAGGCTCTCGTCCCCGTGACATTAGACCTCGTCGCCGGCAACTATGCTCGATGTCATTCTAGATGATTTCTCTCACTATGTATGGACCTTCCCACTTCGTTTTAAATCCGATACCTTTGCCACCTTATCACGCTTTTTTGCCTTTGTGAAGACTCAATTTGCAGCTAGCATCCGGAACATCCAGTGTGAAAACGGTCGTGAGTTTGACAACTCTACCGCCCGCACCTTTTTCCTCACCAACGGTGTCTCCTTGCGGATGTCGTGCCCCCACACCTCCCCTCAGAATGGTAAGGCCGAGCGCATGCTACGTTCTCTCAATAACATAGTTCGCTCCCTGCTGTTTCAAGCTAGCCTACCACCTTCTTTTTGGGTCGAGGCCCTCCATACTGCCACACATCTCATTAATCGTCATCCCACCAAAACCCTTCATCACCACACCCCGTTTTTTGCCCTCTATGGTGCTCACCCATCCTACACACACCTTCGAGTCTTTGGATGCAAGTGTTACCCAAACTTATCTGCCACTACCCCCCATAAGCTTGCCCCTCGCTCCATCATGTGTGTGTTTTTAGGATATCCCGAGAATCACAAAGGGTACCGGTGTTTTGATCCTGTCTCCAATAGGGTCTATATTTCACATCATGTGGTGTTTGATGAGCACTCGTTTCCTTTTGCTGAGATGACTAACAGTGCAGATGCTCCTAATTTGGACTTTCTTGAGGATTTTTCATCTCCTCTGCCAGCTCCCATCGGTCGACGCATAGGCAGCAGCTCCAGCCGGCCGGCTGGAACACCCCCTGGGCCGCGTGCCTCCGTCGGCACGCCATCCGGCTCGGCTAGGCAGGCGTCCCCGGCCTCTTCACCAGCTCGGCCCACAGAGGCTGGGCCTTCCTCCGCTGGACCGGGCGCTTGGGACCCCATGCTGTCCCCCCGGTCCACCCATTCGGCGGCCCCCTCCAACACCGGCTCCTCCAACGAGCCGCCCCTGTCGACCGGCCTAGCTCCCACCACAGGTGCGTCTTCCCTGCGGCCTCCACCGACAGGCGCGCCCACGCGCCCTCGCAGCGCGCGAGTCCCTGGCGGCCGCGCTCCTCCACCGATCCTCGATGCTTCTCCGGCCGACAATGAACATGCCATGGTCACGCGTGGCAAATCTGGCATACGACGACCGATCGATCGCCTCAACCTCCACGCCGCACCCTTGTCGCCGGTGCCTCGCACCTATCGTGCGGCCTTGGCGGACCCCCATTGGTGCACTGCTATGGAAGAGGAGTACAATGCTCTTCTCGCCAACCGGATGTGGGACTTAGTTCCTCGTCCACCCGGCGTCAACGTCGTCACCGGCAAATGGATCTTCCGCCACAAGTTCCAGGCCGACGGGTCTCTCGACAGGTACAAGGCTCGCTGGGTCTTGTGTGGGTTCACTCAGCGTCCTGGCATTGACTTTGATGAGACATTCAGTCCGGTCGTGAAGCCGGCCACCGTTCGCATCGTGCTGAGTCTTGCAGTCTCCAAGGACTGGCCCATCCATCAACTTGATGTGAAGAATGCCTTCCTTCATGGTACTCTCCAGGAAACTGTTTACTGCTCTCAGCCTGCTGGTTTCATTGATCCTACCAAACCCGACATGATCTGCCGCCTCAACAAGTCCCTGTATGGTTTGAAGCAAGCGCCTCGTGCATGGTACAGCCGGTTTGCCAGTTTCTTACTCACACTTGGCTTCTCTGAGGCTCGGTCGGACACATCATTGTTTATCTATCATCGTGGTTCCGATGTGGTCTATCTCCTGCTATATGTCGATGATATTGTGCTCACAGCCTCCTCTGACAGTCTTCTTCGTTGGACAATTTCCGCCTTGCAAGCTGAATTCTCCATGAAGGACCTCAGGCCTCTCCACCACTTCCTTGGAATCAGTGTTACCCGCACATCCACTGGTTTGTTCCTCAGCCAGCAACAGTACATTCTTGATGTTCTTGCTCGTGCTGGCATGTCCGAGTGCAAGCCATGTTCTACGCCGGTCGACACTAATGCCAAGCTCTCAGCTGTCGATGGTGCCCCAGTTGCTGACCTGACTGATTACAGGAGCCTCGCTGGTGCATTACAATATCTCACTTTCACCAGGCCAGATATATCCTATGCTGTCCAGCAAATCTGCCTTCACATGCATGACCCCCGGGAGCCGCACCTTGCCGCTCTCAAGCGTATACTTCGCTACACTCAGGGCACCATCGATCATGGATTGCATTTTCAGCGCTCTCGAACTGTTGACTTGGTTGCTTATTCTGATGCTGATTGGGCCGGTTGTCCCGACACGAGGAAGTCCACCTCGGGCTATGCCGTGTTTCTTGGTGCCAACCTGATTTCTTGGTCCTCCAAGCGACAAGCGACAGAACACAGTCTCCCGTTCCAGCGCCGAAGCAGAGTACCGAGCCGTGGCCAACGCCGTGGCGGAAACATGTTGGCTTCGCCAGTTATTGCACGAGTTACATACTCCACCCTCCAAAGCTATGGTTGTCTATTGTGATAATGTCAGCGCTGTCTACCTTTCTACAAATCCAGTACAACATCAACGGACTAAGCACATTGAGATCGATCTTCACTTTGTTCGTGATCGTGTTGCGGCTGGAGTTGTTCGTGTCCTTCATGTGCCAACCACATCGCAATATGCTGATATCTTCACCAAAGGGCTGCCGACATCTGTCTTCACGGAATTTCGTTCTAGTCTCAATGTTCGCTCCAGCGCCGTTGCGACTGCGGGGGGGGGGGGGGTGTTAGATAGATATATATCTTGTGCATGTTTGTTTCCTTTTGTGCCGATCCCTCCTAATGTCTCTCCCGATTCTGTTTCTATAAGTCGGTTGAGTGGATAAGGGAGGTTTCGAGCCTATATGTACTCCGCACCCGATATCAATCCAATCTATTGTGTTGAGTCTATCGCGCTCTCAACGACGATGACACGCTCACCTCGCTGTCCCTCTCCCTCCCGGGGCAGCAGGACCCGGGGTTCCACCACGACAGCGCATGGAGCCACTTCCAGGAGTTCCCCTCCCCCTCCTGCTTCCCTTCGCTACCGCCCTCGCCGCCGCCGCCGCCGGCAACATCTCCGTCCCCATACCCGTTCAACACCGATCTCATCTACACGATGCAGGAGATGATTCGCACAGAAGTCTGCAACTACATGGCCGGCGTCGGGCTCCGCGTCGGCTGCGGCCCGGGGGCCCTGGCCAAATGCTCCATGCCGCAGCTCGTCGACGGCGTCATGTGCGCCGCCGCCGAGAGGGTCTGCGTCGTGACCCACCAATAAAACCAAAAAAAAAATCAGCCATCCGGTGCAAATTCACCACAAAGCACGGTGAAAACCACCTGTTAATTATGAAATCTCCACAGCGATGCAGGAGATGGGAAAGAGCAGATCACGGGGGCTCTCTTTATATAGGCCGGAGGGGAGGAGGTCGACCGCACGGACGGAAAACAACGTCGGCGACGGTGGAGCTCCCTATTGAAGACACCGGTTTAAGAAATCGATTGAGGGCGATTTAGTGCGGGATTAAGTGGGATTTGTTGGGGAAATTGATGCCCACTACACAAGGAATCGATTTTTGCAATTAATTTGGAGGAGAAACGATAGGGCAGGAAGATCAACGGAGGCGGCAGTGCTTGAGTTTCACGGGAGAGATGAAATAGACGACGGACAGAGGTGGAAGAAGCTCCTGGCGAGTGGGGCCCACCTGCCAGCGCTCGGACAGCAAATGGAAGAGAAAGAGGGGGAGGATGAGGAGAGGATGATTTTATGTGGGCCCCACATGTCAGTGGTTCCATGTCAAATGGGTCCCACACATATTTTTTATTTCTAATGCCACCTAAGTGCCACGTCAATGCCACGTGGAAAGGAGACCGAGTCAACACTGCCACGTAGGCGCCACGTCAGCGAAACCGCCCTCCAAAACCGCCGAGGGAGTCAAATTACACCGGTTTTGAGAGTTGGGGGGTCCATATATCCGGTTTTGTGGTTTAGGGTCATGGATTAGATTTCGATCACTTTTGAGGGTCACAAAGTGAACTTATTCCGGTTCAGAAATATAAACTAGATTGGAGCTATTTTTGAGGGAGTCAAAGTGAACTTATTCCATCTAGTAATGTGTCTACCTCTAGTCAAGGTTTAAAACCAATGGATCCAAACTTCTTGGGACAGATAAAAAACATAAACCGCTAGATTTTTTTTTTGTCAAGTTAAACAAAATCAAACTGAATTTTAATTTTTTGACAAAATTTGTCCGAATTTTGTCGTTTTTGTCAGTTTATCAATGGTTTTCGCTAATTCTCGTTTTTGTCAGTTTATCAATGGTTTTCGCTAATTCTGAAGATATCGCTCGCGAGCAGTTTTTGATCCTGTATCGGGATTGTGATCCATGCCTCTACTTGGCTCCTTGCAATATGGTTCTCTTGTATCAAGGCGTTTTAAACAAAGTCATATGGTTCATCCAATGGTCTGGCCTAATTTAGATGATGTGGCTTCACAAGAGAACAGGAAAATGGTATTAACCACCTAAGTGAGGATTAATTGTACAAGTATATAGGAATAATATGTTATTCCATGCAAAGAAAACAAAGTCATTTGTTTGTCAACATAAGATGCAGTCTGTAGTAATGACACAGTGGTTTCTCATGTGTCATGTTACAATGTTATTCACCTAGGAAGCCTTGTCCAAGTCAGAATGAACATGAACCATTGTGGGAACACAAATAATAGAGTAAAATATAGGGTAAGCTGGATCAGATCACAATCCCATATTATTAGACACAAGTTAAAAAGATAGATACAGATTAAGAAAAAAAAGGCTGGATATGAACTGGTTTCTTTAAACCAGAATTCAAAGAAAACCTAACAGAATCATAGAGTATACATGCAGGAGCACATCTATGAGTACTATAAGGCCTGGCAGGGAGGAGAGGCTGCAAAAACGCTTGAAACTAACCTAACTAGAACTTCACATCAGAAGAGCTAAATGTGCAGATAAACTAGCTAGCTGGCTGATTTAATTACCTAATGGCACACCGTAGACCTTTCTTTTTTTAAATAAAAACAGAAAGAAAATGAACCCCTTAGGCATCTGTTTTTATAATTAGATTATAATACTATACGCCAGTCCACATTTTTCTACACAATGATAACGTGTCACTGCATTTCTGAATAATTTACCACAACCTTCACATCTACAACACTCCCAACTCTGTAAACCATCTGGAGAAACCAAAAACTGAAATTCATGGTAGTAGACAGAAACATATGGATCATTTTAAGCATGAGCATATTCAGGGGGGGTTCTGGTCTCAAGTTCAATTGGGAGTCCAAGAACAGGCGTCGGAAGAGGATCTTTCCTGTAACCTTCTTCTTTGCAGCACAATTTCCACCTGAACTGTCTCACTAGGTAGTGCATGGCTACCAATGTCTCAGTCCTCGGAAACTCGTTTCCAGGGCACATACTTGGACCTCCCCCAAATGGCACAAAGCAATAAGGTGGGATCAAAGACTGGTTGTCAAACCTAGTAGGATCAAACTTGATCGGATCGTTGAAAAACTTCCCGTCCAAATGTGTGATACTTTGAGCATGGAAGACCTGCATCGCAAGATTGGGAGGGTAAAAAAATAAATATAGCACTTGGGAATGGAAAATATAGTGACACGTATGTCATAACTGGGATGGAAAAGATATCCAGTAACAAAAAAGGGGAATTGGTCAATAGAAAAATACTTACTTGCCAGCCTTTTGGAATGTGATAGCCCCGGTATTCAATGTCTTTGATAGCTGTTCGGAAGCTTCCAAAAATTGGAGAAATTGTCCGTAGTATCTCCAATGCCACCTTCCATGTGTACTTCATCCTTGAGACATCATCCCAGGTTAAAGGCTCATTAGGTCCTTTGCTCCTAGCAATCTCCTCTTGTTCTGTGGTTCACGATAGTTGCAAATGGTAGCAGTTCTAGTCAGAAGATTAAAACATCAAGGTACAGGCACACGACACGATACAGAGTACTAGTTGTTTACCATCAGTTATCTTGCCAAAGATGTCTGGCTCATTGGCTAGGCACCGGATCAAGAAGGTGATAAGAACAGACGATGTTTCATAACCGGCAGCCAGGAGAACGATTGCATTGTCCACAATGTCCTCTACTGTGAGCGAGTGTGTGCCTTTGGAGCGCAAAACAAGCATGTATGTGAAGAAATCATCAGCTGAACTAGAATAGCCTTGCTGCAATGCTCCTTCCATGTCACGAGCAATTTGCCTCAGCACCTTCCTGATCCTCCGGCTAGCGTTCAAGCCTTTGTTGAACTTGGTGAAGGGTATATTCACTGGAATTGATAGCATGGCCTTCACCATCGTCTCAAAGTCGGCAGCAAGGGCTTCTCTGATGGGACCTACCCCTTGTCCAAAGATGACTGAGCAGATGATGTCAAAGGCAAGCCTCCTTGCCAATGGCGCAACCTATAATCACAAAAGTAGCTCACATACATATCCATACTACAAAAAGTTTTTTTGAACTATACATAAAAGGGTCTAGAAATTCAAAGAACATTATTACAACTTTCATACCGTGACAGTCTTATGACCAACCCAATTCAGGTCAATGTGCCTCCTGACTTCCTCATCCATCTTCCGCATATACTTTGTAACCATCTCTGGCCTCAGATAGCCATGTAGAGCACCGCGGACTTGCTTTAGCTCCTCACCTGAGAGTGTCAGAATGGACCGCCCAACGAGGGCGTTGATCGCCTTTGTCTCGGTGAAAATGAGGTCCTGGTTGCTGAATACAAAGTGATTGGCCCCTGGGCCAGCCAACAGCACTGTCGGCGAGCCAAAAAGTGACATCTTGGACACAGCACCATACTTCTCGATCCTGTCCTGGCACCACTGGTAATCAGTATTACTATGGAGAGCACGAAGTAGGGAGATGGTCTGGCCAATCACTGGGAAGCCAAGGGAACCTGGAGGGAGATTATAGGATGAGTACTTGCGCCTGATGACAACGTGGAGGAGGATGGGTATGAGCAAGGCAAGCAGCAGAGCAAAAGGAATGGATGAATCCATTGACATGGTATGTTGTTATGCGTTGGATGATCAGCTTGTGGATTTGTATACATGTATATATATAGGTAAACCAGAGTTGTTCCTTTCTCCATGATATATAAGGGAGTATGGTTTAACAAATTTGATATTTTCTTTTGATCTCAACAAAAGGACTAGTTGGCAAAGCTGAATATATCACTTTCTCAAAAGTCATACAACAAACAAGCAAAGATTACAAATTGAGAGAAGGACGGGAAGACAATATAACATTAACAAACCATCGTTTGTCACCAGAGTAATGAGTCTGATTCATGATAAATTAAAATATTAGTTTATAAGTAAACAATTCCATCTTGTGAATTACTGGAAATAAATAGAAGCCAGTTCAACGAATCACATTTATGCTAGCCAATAGAATTTCTGCATTTATGCTAGTCAAAGAATCGCATTTCGCCCTCAAATGAAAGACATAAAAACGAATTCCCTAAAATTAAAAAAAAAAGAACTATAAAAAGAAGTACATAGACAGAAGCAAATAAAGAGATGAACTGAATATTCCTTTGGATCTAATATTAGCTTGAGGAAAGATACTACTGTTTTGCTGGTAGATGAGTTTACACAGAAGTACTAAATTTTATAAAACAAGCAAAGCAAACCATTGAAAAGATCTGGTGACAACAATTTGGTCATCCCTAAGGAAACAATCCATGTTCTATGTAATGAGAAATTGTGAACAATATTCTAGATTATAATTCTTCTGCATAATTGCAGGGCTCTCGATCAACACTTCTAGCCTTAGCACTCGATCAACAAGTATAGTTCTAGCCTTGGCACAAGCCATGTATGCAGGATAGCTATTCTTTTTTTGGTATATTAGTATGCAGAATATCTGCCACGAAAAATAGCTAGACATTTTAAAAACGAAGCAAATTACTACGTACTTAGTGGAAAAGGTTAGCTCCAGTTCTATATATGTGCCTGTGCACAAAAAGACACATTTACCGTTGCCTCAATTCTTCTGAAAATGGCATGGCCCTGCAATACAGATTACAGAACAATACTTTAGACTTTATCCATAAGCAGATGATTCCTCCCCTAATATAGCATGACCATTTCTTTTAACAACGTTGGCATAATCAATGCATTATCAGGATGCACGAAATTGACTTTGAGGATCACGTAGATCCTGAAAAACTTTCAAAAAAAAGGGAAGGAAAACGACAGGTCGGATAACATATTCTGAAAATCCACTATAGTCAACTTCCAAGAACAAAATATGTATAAAGACAGATAGATAGATATATAGATAGGTAAGACTTCGAAGGGATAGACTCTCCCCAATATAGATTTGGAGATCACATCACGAATGCAGATTTGATTTAATAATATAATTTGTCCACGGATCGAAATCAGCAATCATCAGGCCAGGAGATCATTATTCTCCTACATCGATTTTAGGCAGTGTTCACTGTTCACTAATCCACACCACCAGACCTGACCGAAACCCACCCCAACTGCATCTGCGCCAACACAGATTCACAGACTCGTTCAGCCGCCCCCATCAACAAATCAAACAACATCTCACCAATCAATTGCAAAGCTAGAAATCAAGAATCCCAGGACACCTAAGAGCTAGTGACCAAACCTCTTACTGCGCTGCCTGCTTGTTGGGGGGCGTCCTGCAGGTAAGATGCAGGAGGGGAAGCTTGCCCGCTGGCGCACCGCCACCGGCCGGCGGTGCGCGCCGCCGACGGGGAGCCCCGCGCAGCTGACGGCCGCCGCTCGAGCCGGAGAATGTGGGCGACCTGCCTTGCCTAGGCCCATGCCCGGATGGCCAGCCCAACCTCCATGGAAGGCCGGTTTTATGTCCGAAACTGATGGAAATTAACTTTGATCAAAATTTTAAACTTCGATCATGGTTTTTAAAGTAAATTTTTATAAAACTCCATCTAGGCCACACAAAAACATAGGGATTTTGGAACATGACACATCCTCGCGTTTATGGTCATAAAATTTCACAAAAATCACACCATGAACCATTTTGACATATTCCTATATCAAAATTTTAAAAAGTGGATTTAACGTTTACATGATGGATTAAATCCTTATAAATTTAAGATGTTATCGTAGAATTTTAAAATGTGGTAGATCAAAGTTACCTGTACGGTTTTGTGAAACTTTAGAATCATATTAGAGGTTATGTGATACGTGCCGAAATTCCTGTAGTTTTGTGCAATTTGAATCATAATACGTGGGATTTTATGAAATTTACTCTCACTATTTTAGCAGAACAAGTTTTTTAAAACCTAATAGCTAACAATATTATGAAAGTGTTTTTCAAGTAAAAATATTATCTTTTTTAATTAAACATTTAAGAAGTTATTGGTGGTTAAATTTTTTTAAAAAAATTTTAAGGGTGAATAGCTAAATTGGTCCTCTAAGTTTCATCTAAGGTTTAGTTTGGTCTTTGACATTTTAATCTGCCCATCTTACTCTTTCAAGTTTTAATTCTAGCTCAAACTCATCCTTGAACCCATTTAAGGAGCCACATGGCTAAACATAATCAATATCTCTTGATAAATTACCCTTATACCCCTCATTCACATATATAACAAAAATGAAGAACATACCTTACTAATGAGGCAGTGAAACTTTATGACAAGATCCCCTAAAGTTGAGCTTTAAATACCCAACTTTCTATCAAACATACATCCAATAATTATATGATTTTTTTTGAAATCACATATAATGAATTTTGCTATAGATGCATAGTAATTTATGTAAAAAGAAAATAATTATGTAATTAAAGCTCAACCTTGTGTGCACATAATGAAATAATAGGAAGTACATTTATAATTCTATTTATTCATCTTTGTTTTTCTCTTTTTACATGGTACGAAAAGTAAGGGCAAAAGGGACATTTTCTAATAGAAATGTTGACTAAGAATAGCCATGTGATACATTAAGTAGGGCCAAGAAATAAAAAAGTACCAAACTGAAATTACAACAAGTCAATCCATGATGATAGAATATCTCTTTATACATGACTTAAAAGAAAGAAAAGTAAAAGTAGATCATCCTTTAAAAGGCAACTCCAGGGATGTACAAAAGGTGGCAAGGTGCTTTATCTTCAAAATGAAGTCATTCCTCTGTTTTCCAAATATTTCGGGAAGCATATAGAACTTTTTCCACAAAGTTTAAACCCTGGCATTGCAATTATCCATAGCCGACTGCAACATCTGCTCAAAGCTTAGGCTTGTGTTCCACATGATAAGCAGCCTTGACCAAACATTCTTGGCTAAAGTGACATTCAAAGAAAATATGCATGAAAGTCTCTCTTGCATCTTATATAAGTTAAATCAATGTCCTGAGATGCAAAAAATAAGCATGTTTTACCATCCTTGACATTTCACTTGGCAATACCTCTGAAAAAGTTTTTTAAAATTTTTAAAACATATTTTACCACCAGAAAGAACCCACATACCTCACACAGGGACTTTGTCACTACAATATTATAAAATTTGTGCAAATTCTTTATAAGAAAGAGAATTATGAGACTAATAACCCATAGACCCTTTTTTTTCTTTGGTTGATAGACTTTGTTCCCTAGCACTATAGACTTTTTTCTCGAATTTTCAAAACTTTGACTAAATCTTATCCTAAACATCAAATATTTATAATCATTTAGGGAATAGAGTAATACACTGTGACAACTAAACATTGTCCTCCACTGTGAATGAAAAAAAAAAAAGCAAAGGAAAAGGACTTACCTCTGCTAGCGATACAATCATCGATAGCAAATTCTGAGACAAATGACAAGTATTTTGTTTGCTAGTACATGGCGATTGTGTTTAGAGTATTGCATTTTCTAATGGTAATTTTAAATTATCCTTTTTTTGTTCATTGCATCCAAATAAAGTAAACAGCTGGCTGATTTACCCAACAATAGCACAACGTAGACATTGTTTTCAGAAAAACAAAAGAAAAGGAACCCCCTAAGCAGATGTCTTACTAACTCTGTTTCTTAATAGATGATGCCGTTGAACATTTGACCATTCGTCTTATTAAAAAAACATAATTATTATTTATTTTGTTGTGAGATGTTTTATCACTCAAAATACTTTAAGCATGATTTATATTCTATACATTTACATAAATTTTTAGAATAAGACGAATGGTCAAACATGTGTTCAAAAGTCAACGCCGTTATCTATTAAATAACAGAGGGAATATTACACATTTATCTGCGCAACTGAACCAAAGCTTTGATCATAAGTCACTGCATTTCTGAACAACTTTACCAAGATCTTCACAACTGCAACATTTCCAACTCTTCAACCAACTAGTGAAAGCATAAACTAAAAACAGGTGGATCATTTTAAGCATATCCAGGGGGAGCTTCTGGTCTCAAGTTCAATTGGGAGTTCAAGAGGCATCGGAACAGGATCTTTCCTGTAACCTTCATCTTTGCAGCACAATTTCCACCTGAACTGCCTCACCAGATAGTGCATGGCTACCAATGTCTCGGTCCTCGCAAATTCATTTCCAGGGCACATTCTTGGACCTCCCCCAAACGGAACAAAGCAATAGGGTGGGACTGAAGACTGGTTATGAAATCTAGCAGGGTTGAACTTGTTCGGGTCATCGGAAAAATTTGCGTCCAAATGTGTGATAATTATAGCAGTGAAGACCTGGCATAGCACAGAAAATGTGTTAAGAGAGCTGTAAGCCTATAACAGTTGGGTATATTGTTCAGATGGACATATCACTGATACATTAATGTCATAAGGGAATGGAAAAGTTACTCAATGTCACAAAATGGAATCAGTTCACAGAAAAAAAGAAAACTTACTTGCCAGCCTTTTGGAATGTGATAGCCCTGGTATTCGATGTCTTTAATAGCTGTTCGGAGGCTTCCAAATATTGGGGGAACAGTCTGTAGTGTCTCCATTGCCACCTTCCACGTGTACTTCATCCTTGAAACATCATCCCAGGTCAAAGGTTCATCAGGTCCTTTGTACCTAGCGATCTCCTCTTGTTCTGTTGGTCACAATAAGTACAAATGATATTGATGCTACTCAGAAGATTCAAATATCAAAATATGAGGACAATACAGAGTACTAGTTGCTCACCTTCAGTTATCTTGCCCAGGATATCTGGCTCATTGGCTAGGTACCGGAGCAAGAAGGTGATAAGAACAGACGATGTCTCATAACCAGCAAGTAGGAGTAAGATTGCATTGTCCACAATGTCCTCCACTGTGAGTGAGTGGGTGCCTTCGGAGCGCAAAACAAGCATGTATGTGAAGAAATCATCAGCTGAACTAGAATGGCCTTGCTGCAATGCTGCTTCCCTGTCACGAGCAATTTGCCTGAGCACCTTCCTCACCCTCCGGCTCGCACTCAAGCCCTTGTTGAACTTGGTGAAGGGTATATTCACTGGAATCGATAGCATTGCCTGCACCATTTTCTTGAAGTCAGCAGCAAGGGCTTCCCTGATGGGACCTGCCCCCTGTCCGAAGATGACTGAGCAGATGATGTCAAAGGTGAGCCTCTTCGCCAATGGTGCAACCTGTAATCGCGAAAGTATCACACATATACATATCAATACTACGAAAAGTTGTTTTAAGTACACATAAGGGTCTAGCAATTCAAAGAACATTAAGTGGGAAAAGAAGAAGAAAACACAACACTCATACCGTGACTGTCTTTTGACCAACCCAATTCAGGTCGATGTGCCTCCTGACCTCCTCATCCATCTTCCGAATACACTTTGTCACCATCTCTGTCCTCAGATAGCCCTGCAGTGCACTGCGGACTTGCTTTAGCTCCTCACCTGATAGTGTCAATATGGACCGCCCAATGAGGGCGTTCGCTGCCTTCGTCTCGGTGATAATGAGGTCTTGGTTGCTGAATACAAAGCGATTGGCTGCTGGGCCAGTCAACAGCACCGTCGGTGAGCCAAACACTGACATCTTGGACACTGGACCATACTTCTTGATCCTGTCCTGGTACCACTGGTAATCAGTATTACTGCGGAGGGCGCGAAGTAGGGAGATGCTCTGGCCAATCACTGGGAAGCCAAGGGAACCTGGAGGGAGATTATAGGATGAGTACTTGCGCCTGATGACAAAGTGGAGGAGGATGGGTATGAGCAAGGCAAGCAGCAGAGCAAAAGGCATGGATGAATCCATTGATATGGTATGTTGTTATGCACTATGAAGGTTGGGTGATCAACTTGTGGATATGTATACATGTATATATATAGGTAAACCAGAGTTGTTCCTTTCTCAATGATAGACAAGAAAGAATGATTTAACAAATTTGATTATTATCTTCAGAACTCAACAGAAGGCTAGGTGGCCCACCTGATTATACTACTTTCTCAAAATTCATACAACATACAGATGACCAAAGCATAGGCCAAGGCAAAGACATCAAATTCAGAGGAGGCGAGAAGACAGAATACAGGTTACTTAAAGAAACCCTCGCTGTTGTTAGTTGTCATACCAGAGCAATGAGTTTGATTCATGATAACTTAAAATATTAGTTCATAAGTAAACAATTCCATCCCTAGCCACATGATAGGAGCAGCTCAGCACGACATGGTGAATTACAGAAAATAAATGGAAGCCACTTCAACATCAGCTTGAAATTTTTTTAAAAAAAGGTGCTGCTAGCCAATAGAATTTCTGTATTTATGCTAGTCAAAGAATCCACATTTCCCTGTCAAATGAAGACATAGAAACAAATTCCCTAAAAAAATTTCTTTGGATGAACTGAATATTTCTTTGGATCTAATATTAGGTAGAAGAAAGATGCTACTGTTTTCTCATTGTTGGAGAGAATGATTACATACAACAGCACTAAATTTTGCAAAGCAAGCAAAAGCAAAACATTGAGAAGATCTGATGTCGTTCCTAAGGAAACGATCAATGTCCTACGTAATGAGAAATTTTGATCAATATTCAAGATTTTAATTCTTCTAATTGCAGGGCTCTCGATCAAAAGTTCTCCCTGCAGGTAAGCCACTATGCGATCTTAAGGTAGCCTTGGCACAGGCATGTATGCAGGACACCTATCCTTTTGTTTTTGGTATATTATTAAGTAGAATATGACCCATGTAAAAAATAGGTAGATATTTTAAAAACAAGAAGCGAATTACGTACATAGTTGAGATTTGAGAAGGTTAGCTCCAGTTCTATGTATGTGCCTGTGCACACAAGGACAAGTTCACTGTACCTGCAATTCTTCTGAAAATGGTATGGCCCTGCAATACAGAACTTTTAGAATTATCCATAAGCAGAAGATTCATCCCTTAATATAGCATGACATATTTTTTAACAATGTTGGCACAATCAGTGCATTATCAGGATACACAACAACGACCTTGAGGGCCACATAGATCCTGAAAACCTGGCAAAAAAGGGAAAACGACAAGTTTAGAATAACATAATCTGAAAATCCACTATGGTCAACTTCCAAGAACAAAAAAATTATGTAGACAAATCTAGATAAACTTTGAAGGCATAGACTCCACAATATAGATCTTGATATCGCATCAGGAATGCAGATTTGCGTCTGAGCCATGACAGCTCGCTCATCCCCCATGAACAAATCAAACAATATCTCACCAACCAACTGCAAGCTAGAAATCATGAATCCAAGACACAAGAGGTGTAGTGACCAAACCACAGGCAGCTGCAACTGGGCGACTTGCCAAGGATTTCCGGCTCCTTGTCTAGGTGCCAGGGAATGAAGGTGATAAGAACAGATGTTGTCTCATAACCTGCAATCAGAAGGAAGATTGCATTATCCACGATGTCCTCCACCGTGAATGAAAAAGTCATAAGCAATGTAAAAGGACTGACCTTTGCTGCCGATACAATCATCAGATAGCAAGTCTGAGACAAAGGACAAGTACTATTGTTTGCTAGTACAGTGCGATTGTGTTTTAGTGCATTACCTTTTCTATGGGTAAATTGCAGTACCATTTTTATATTTTGGTTCATTGCATATCAGAGTAACCAGCTGGCTGATTTACCCAATAGCATAACCTAGACATTCTTTTTAAGAAAAAAACAAAAGAAAAATAACTCATAAGGCATCTGTGTTTATTTATTGCATCATAGTTTATACACCAATACACATTTATCAGCAAAACTGTACCACCTTTGATCATAAGTCACTACATTTCTGAACAACTTTACCAAACCTTCATATCTGCAACACTCGCAACTCTTAAACCAACTAGCGAAAGCATAAATTAAAACGCAAAAAGTAAACAGAAACATGTGGATTACTCTAAGAATGAGCATATCCAGGGGGGCTTCTGGTCTCAAGATCAATTGGGAGTCCAAGAAGAGGCATTGGAGTAGGATCTTTCCTGTAACCTTCTTCTTTGCAGCATAATTTCCACCTGAACTGCCTCACTAGGTAGTGCATGGCCACCAATGTCCCAGTCTTTGCAAATTCGTTTCCAGGGCACATTCTTGGGCCTCCCCCAAATGGCACAAAGCAATAGGGTGGGATTGAAGACTGGTTATGAAATCTAGCAGGGTCAAACTTCCTCGGCCCATCGAAAAAATTTGTGTCCAAATGTGTGACAATTTGATCAGTGAAGATCTGGCATAGAACAGAAAATGTGTTGGAGGAATTTAACAGTTGGGTATATTGTTCAGATGGGCATATTACTGATACACAAATGCACATGGGCGACCAAAAAGATATTCAATGACACAACGGAATTACTTGACAGAAAAACACTTACTTGCCAGCCTTTTGGAATGTGATAGCCCTGGTATTCGATGTCTTTGATAGCTGTTCGGAAGCTTCCAAAGATTGCAGGAACAGTCCGGAGTGTCTCCATTGCCACCTTCCATGTGTACTTCATCCTTGACACATCATCCCAGGTCAAAGGCTCATTAGGTCCTTTGTTCCTAGCGATCTCCTCTTGTTCTGCGGATTCACCATAACTCCATAAGTACCAATGATAGCAGTGATACTAAGAAGATTGAAAAATCAAAAGTACTAGCTGCTCACCCTCAGTTATATTGCCCAGGATGTCTGGCTCATTGGCTAGGTACCGGAGCAAGAAGATGATAAGAACAGAAGTTGTCTCATAACCTGCAGTAAGGAGTAAGATTGCATTGTCCACAATGTCCTCCACTGTAAGTGTGTGCCTTCGGAGCGTAATGCAATCATGTATGTGAAGAAATCATCAGTTGAACTGCAACGGCCTTGCTGCAACGCTGCTTCCCTCTCACGAGCAATCCGACTGAGCAACTTCCTGATCCTCCAACTCGCACTCAAACCCTTGTTGAACTTGGTGAAGGGAATATTTACTGGAATTGATAGTGTAGCCTTCACCAATGCCTCGAAGTCGGTTGCCAGGGCTTCTCTGATAGGACCTGCCTCTTCTCCAAAGAAGACTGAGCAGGTGATGTTAAAGGTGAGCCTCTTCGCCAATGGTGCAACCTATAATCATGAAAGAATCACACATATACATTTCCATATCATGAAAAGTTGTTTTGAGTTATACATAAGGATCTAGCAATGCTGAAAACATTAAGCGGAAAAATGAAAAAAAAAACACAAAGTTCATACCGTGAGAGTCTTTTGACCAACCCAGTGCAGGTCAATGTGCCTCCTGACTTCCTTATCCATCTTCCAAATGTACTTTGTCACCATCTCTGGCCTCAGATAGCCCTGGACTGCACTGCGGACTTGCTTTAGCTCCTCACCTGAGAGCATCAGAATGGACCGCCAACGAGGGCGTTCAGCGCCTTTGTCTGGGTGAAAATGAGGTCTGGGTTGCAAAATGCAAAGCGATTGGCTGCCGGGCCAGTCAACAGCACTGTCGGTGAACCAAACACTGACATCTTGGACACAGGACCATACTTCTTGATCCTGTCTTGGTACCACTGGTAATCAGTGTTTTTGCGGAGGGCACGGAGTAGGGAGATAGTCTGTCCAATCAATGGAAAGCCAAGGGAACCTGAAGGGAGATTATAGGATGCATACTTGCGCCTAGTGACAAGGTGGAGGAGGATGGGTATGAACAAGGCAAGCAGCAGAGCTAGAAGCATGGATGAATCCATTGACATGGTGTGTTGTTATGCAGTATGCAGGTTGGATGATCAGCTTGTGGATTTTTATACATATATAGAGGTAATACAGAGTTGTTCCTTCTGCAATCTGCATGATATATAAGGGATTATGATTTAACAAATTTAGTATTTTTCTTTAGAACTCAACAGAAGGCGTAGGTAGCCCATTGGAATATATTACTTACTCAAAAGTCATACGACAGACAAATGAGCAAAGGAGAGAATGGGGCATAAAGAAACAGTATAGGATTCTTTTAACAAACTCTCGTTGTTGTCACCAGAGCAGCAAGGTTGATTCATGATAACTTATAAAATATTAGTTTATAAGTAAAAAAAACTCCATCCCTAGCCACATAATAGGAGCAGCTTAGCACGAGATATGTGAATAACTGAAAATAAATGGAAGCTAGTTCATCATCAAGTTGTAAAACTAAAAGAAAAAATGATGCTAGCCAATAGAATTTCTGCATTTATGCTAGTCAAAGAATCACATTTCCCCCTAAAATAAGTGCGACATAAATGACTACCCTCGAAAAATAAAAGTCAAAAAGGGAAGTACATAACCAGAAGCAAAGAAAGAGATGAACTGAATATTTCTTTGGATCTAATATTAGGTAGAAGAAAGACGTTACTATTTGCTCATAGTTGGAGAGAATGTTTACATACAACAGCACTAAATTTTGCACAGCAAGCAAAGCAAAAGATTGAAAAGAACTGGTGGCAACAACTTGGACATTCCTAAGGAAACAATCCATGGCCTATGTAATAAGACATTTTCAACAATATTCTAGTTTTTAGTTCTTTTTGTGACTGCAGGAAACTCAGTCAACAATTACAGGAGTTCTCCCTGAGTTCCTGTAGGAAATCCCACTATGCGATCTTATAAGGTCTAGTTTTAGCCTTGGCACAGCAGCACAGACCATGTATGCAGAACATGCATCCTTTATCCTTGGTATATTATTATGCAGAATATGAGCAAGGAAAAATAGGTAGGCATTTTAAGAACTAGAAGCGAGTTAGTACATACGAAGTGGAGAAGGTTAGCTCCAGTTTTATGTACGTGCCTGAGTACACAGACAAATTTACTGTAACTGCAGTTCTTCTGAGAACAGCATTGCCCTGCAATACAGAACAGTAGTTTAGAATTTATCGCCCAACTAAATAGTTTAGAATTTATCCATAAGCAGATCTGAAGATGATTCATGTCCTTATATAGCATGACCATT